CTAAATGGCCCCACCCTAATCAATTTTATGAAATTAAATAATGATGTGAGCAAGATTCGTCATGTATTTCCATATCAGAGTTTTAATTAAGTGGGATGAAAATTATGAGATAGATCAGAGTTTAAATTCAAGGTATGCATGCACAACATGAGATGATTTATTCACGGAACGCTAGCAAATATTCAGTTTGAGATCGACTATACTTTGTGACCGTCACATGGGCAGAGTTAATTGTGTGTTGATGAATATACATATTACCTTTCTCGGAAAAAAAAAGTCACATCGATCATTAGCCATATCATCACCTTTCAAAGAAATTACCTACTTATATACAAAGACCAAATAACATTATACCCTAAAGCAACATTAATATCAAACTTACATATTATAGACTGATAGTCTGATACTTGCTAATAAAAGAGATTTTAAAATGTCATATAGTATTAAGGAAAAACTACGTAATTAGACATACTTTACTATCATATATATTATTATACTTATACTTTCAAAACATTACGTATCTTACCATTAATTAAGAATTTTCTACCAGATATTGAGGAAAATAAACTTGAATATACTTTTTTTTTACTGCCACATAGACTAAAATAGGGAGAGAGGCGAGCGAGATTCGTCATGTATCCCAGATACATGCAAATCACACTAAATATACACTAGATACATGTATATGTATGTATCTGGTGTTATTCACATGTATCTAGGATAACAAATGCATTGGAGAGTGGCGATCCTATCACGACCCAATGAAGGATCATGACCTGCGCTAAGGGGGAGAATCCCAAAGCAAGCCTCACCAGAATTTTACAGAAAATCGGGCAGAGTTTCCTTCGTTTTTAGGTATCCTGGATTTTTCCTGTCTCAGAAATTCACAACACAACTAATAGCAACTATAAACCACCATATAATATCCATCAATGATCAAATTGTCACGCAGTAAAAATCAATTCATCTCCAAATTACGGAAAAAGTTCCAAACTAGTCACTTGACTACAATTCGAAGGACTAATCTGACTCAAATCAAAGGAATGACAAATGGAGCGACTCTAAGAGTTTTTAAAAGAAACTAAATAAACATAGCAAATCAATAGTTCTTTTGCCACGCGAAGCAATGCGGGGCTCACCAGATGCTACCAACGCACACGCTAGTTAATGAAATCTTCTTCAATACCACCTGAATTCTCTGTAAAAACAATTAGCGAGAAGCTAGCTTAGTGAGTAATAATACTTAACCACAACCATTTTAATGAGGGACAAGTCAGAAAACATGCTAGTATAATAATTTTATGTGCCTCATATAAGCAAAATCAATGTAAATACTTAATAGTAAACTCAGAAAAACATTTCATATCAAATCTTATAGCTGGGAGGTTTCTAAGGATGAATCATGTAATTAGTGTGGCCTTCTCTTTAAGAAGTAACCAATAACAGTGAACTCCTCATAAAGGAGTTATATATTCATATCATTAGATCCCTACTCAAGTGATATCAGTAACAGTATACTAGTTCTACCTTCCCACTAGCAAGGGCTTTATCAGTAATCAGTAACTACAAGGTGCACCAGGTCTAATGATCCCGCCATTAGCTACAGGATTCATCAAGGTCTACTCCCATTTATATTTTTCTTGTAATCAGTAGAAACATTTCAAAATCGAACAGAGCATTTAAATCTTATCAAATCATATCATTTCAAAGTTTAACAATCACTTATCAAAATACTATTTCTCAAATAAGTGTAAAACCTTTTCAATAACAGTAATCATATCTTGTAAGAATAAGATCATCTCAAATAATCTTTTCAGTATCATATCCCGTAAAAGACTTGTCCCACATGCAAGTTCAAAACAGTCGGTAACACATTTACTTTTATAAACCATGTAAAAATCATGAAGTTTGTGAAATACAAATTGTGGTAAGATTACTACTCACAGTACTTGTGTTGAGTTACCAAGCTTGCCACTCGATTACTCCGTACGAATTCCTTTGGTCAATCTATAATCACATTCATAACAATTTCGTGTTAACTCCTTCATTTAGGTAATTCATACTACATTTAAAAAACCCAGCCCTAGAGGTTTCATGGCTGATTCGAAATCTGCCCAATCACATAATTAGTGCTTTAATCACACACATTAGTCTCTTCTTGGTCAATTCTCACTGTAAAAAGATCAACCTAACCTTATTGCCCAATTATCTTATTGCATACAAGCCCAATACCAAAGTTTACAGTTCAAATCATTGACTATATTCACTTGGTTCATAAGAATGAAATAAATTTCCTCTTTTTCTTCTAAACCCATGTTCCTCAACTTCCCAATTCCCAATCTTTTAGTCATGGAGGATACAAATTCAACCTTTAGACTATGTTAAGAAACTTACCTTCTTCTCGTTCTTCTTATTCTTCCACCTCTCTTTAGTTTGAGAACTAAGGCTTTCAATTTAAATTTATTTTCTCCTTCGTTCGTTCGCTCACTCTAGAACAAGAAGAGTCCTTTTTTTTTCTTTTGATGCTGAAGTTGCAGCGTTGCTGCTGCTGCCTGCTTCTGTTAGGGCTTTCAGCCCTTTTTATAAAAAAAATTCTGATCTTTTCTTTTTTTTTATGAGAGCTAAATGACAAATATGCCCTTATTTTAATATAGGGTATTACATATCCAGATGGGAGAGAGGGGATGGAGGCAAGAGAGATTTGTTATGTATCTCAATATATGCTAATCCACTTAAATATAAATATACAATTACATTTAATTTTGATCCCATGTATACCGAGATACATGCATATGGACATATCTAAACATATCTGGATGCGCCAAAATCTAGTAAAATACGTAATATTACAAATTGGAGTGTTTTGTAGATTAGCTCCTAAATTGATAGGATATTTATATATATATATAATTGCAGTATGGAAGGTGAATGATGTCTATTGTATATTCATAATTTCCCAACAACTCGTTATCTAGATAGTATACATAAACTTTCTACGTATTAAAATATTTAATATGAATTAGTTTTAAAAGAAATAATATGTGGTTTAGATAGTTTAATTCTTTGTAGGTACAATACAACTAGTTTCAAGTATAATTTGTTTTCTTCAGCAACGTAAAAGAAGTTGGAGAAAATGACTTCTTGCTATTTCTTTCATCAAAAATAACCGCAAATAAGATCTGAACATCAAATGTTATTATGGTGTGTAACAATAACAATCATTCGCTATAGCAGCCAAAAAATGTCCGTCGTTATAAGAGGTCCAACTTTGTCTTTCGCAATTACACTTATAAATCTCAATCCTGAACACTCTCAAAGACAACATAGCAATATTTGCTACTTCACCTTAACTAAGATCTTATGCATAACTTGAAATAACATCATACATACAAAATAAAATTCATCTGATGCTTCAAACTCGCGCACAACAGAGCAATATGTGGATGGAAGTATTACCAAAATCGAGCACGACACCATCTGGACATATCAACTTGACTTGTAACACTGCTGATCTAAATGCAGGTTAAGCATTTCAAGCGTAAGTCATTCTTTGAGCCAGAGAAGCACATTTTAGACATACTGCTGGAAGGAAATCTGCGGTAAACATGTTACTGTTGAGAAACAAAATGATACAATGGGGATTTGAGCAATTACAGTTTCTCAATTTTGAAGTGCAGCTGGAGCAGTGAAAAAACATCAGAGTTTATACGCGAAAAACTCCTTGATCAATATTTCCTTTCAGACTGATGAAAGAAAAAGTGAAATTCGAGAGAAAAGATAAAGTACCTTTCTTCACCTACACTCTGCTGACAGATCACATATGAGCTGATATTTGTCTATTCAGTAGAGAATTTTGGCACAACTGACGAAAGAAAGAAAAAAGATGGTTAAGTTGAGATCAGATAATAAAGTTAAGATTATGTTTAGGCTTTTAGACAGAGGCAGAGCCAGAATTTTCAATAAGGGGGTTCAAATTTGTAGAAATAGACCATGAAGTAGCCGAAGGGGGTTCAACATCTACTATATATACATATAAAATTATTTAACCATGTATAAATAATATAATTTTCTGCCGAAGTGGCTCCGCCCCTGCTTTTAGATGTTAAGTTATGGGAAGACAAGCTTCTGTCTCGTGTGCGTTTGAACTCTCTCAGTAGAAATATCAAAAATCAAGAGTTAAACATGTTCATTACTCTAAACTCTAAATCATCTCCTCCTTCCTCAACCCACGGGAAGAAGAAGCAATACGTTCTTTGATGAAGTTAGAAGAAACTGGATGTAGTCCATTTCAAGTGAACATTTTTAAGCCTGTGAACTTGGTAGAGCAATTGAATGTTAATCAAGGTTGAACTGTACAATACAAAGAACTTGTGTCAGCCTCAGCTATAACAAGCCAAGCTAATATAAAAAAAAAGGAGATAGGAAAAGAAGACTCAGAGCAAGTTTAAAGATTACATTAGTTGCAATGTATCACCTTATAGTCATCTAAAATTAGAATGAAAATGCTTCGCTCCACACAGTGGCAATAGATATACACACTGTTCACCTACTAAGAAAACAAGAAGAATAACAAACAAGGAAAAGGAATGTAAACAGGAAAACGGAGATAGGAACAAACTTTGTGTCTTGTATACCTCTGAATTCTATTAGAGCTATGCATTTATGAGTGACCATGTGCATTACTCTAAACCTCCATTCTCCTTAGTCCTTTGATCAACTAACTCATGAAAAACGGAAAGAACAAGAATACATGAAGTGCTATCAACTTTCCCGAAGCAAATAATTTCAATTCCTACATATACCAGCTTTCGGTTTATCCTTTTTTGCTGTCATCTAAAATTAAATTCATCAGCTTCACAGTGGCAATAGACGTTTGTGCTGCTCAAGGATTTAACAAAGGAAAAAAATTAACAAGCAAGAAAAGGAAGTAATCAGAAAAATAAATGAAAAATAAAGAATTTTAACTTACAATTTATCAGAGCACCATTTTTTTTTAATCACTACTGGGATTCCAAATCAATATATATGGTGGGAATATGAGCAATTTTTGGCCAGTAATCCCCCTTGTTAAATTCTAAGAGTGGTTTGAGCAATGGGCATTTGGAAATATATAGATTAGAGATAGAAGGGGGCATCCCCGATTCGGGAAGAGATTGGACATTAGAGCAATTCCAAATGCGCAGCTCAGAGAGGGAGGAGGGCAACCCCGATTCGGGAAGAGATTGGAGATTAGAGCAATGTTGGATGGTCACTTAGAGAGGGAAGAGAGCATCCTGATTCGGGAAGAGATTGGAGACTATGGCATCCCGAATCTCTAGATGTTGAAGCCACGTGAGACGCTGAAGACCTTCGGTCGGTAGTGAATGAAGATCATGATTGCTAATAATTTTAGCTCAGAAAGAGAGGAAGGAAGCCCTTCTTCCAGCAATGACTGCATTTGAGGTAATTATTAGCAATAGGTACTCAAGAGAGGTGAGGCTTTTGAGAAGTTGGCTGCTTAATGTTTTCAGATTCATATGCTAGCCTTCGATAGAGCAAGGCAACTCCATTTTTTCATCAGCAAGAACCACTTCGTCGCTACCATCATGGTGAATAGTTAAATCTCTGAGACAGGGGAGTCTCTGTAAATACCACTCTTTTCGGCCATTCACCAATTTCTTACAACAGGAGATCCAAGTTGTTGTAAATTGAAGGGCAATCCTCCTTCAGGAAGGACTCTATTTGTGAACAATTAACCAGTTCAGTTCCTTAAGAGATGGAAGGAGTTGTTGCATATGTTCTGGTAGCGACTTCAGCTTCTTGCAGTTGTAAATATGCAATGATGTCATCTGAGTCCCACATGCCACTGAAAGTATTTCAAGATTATCACAATCTCTAATACTGACTGTTTCAGTGGCAGTAGGAATCAAAAGCCTAGTATGTTGTTGCAACTTCTTACACTCAAAGAGAGTGCTCTTGGGAGAAACTCAGGTGAATCACATCCTACTAGAGACAATTCCTTCAGACAATAGCATTGATCGGCGCCTCCATTTCAGTTCCCTACAACCAGAGATTCTTATTCTCTTCAAGGTACTCGGCAGAATGCTAATAGGTAAGGAGGTAAGAGACTTACAATCAGTAATATCTAATTTAACAATCTGTTTCATTCCCTCAAGTTGAGACGTAAACAATTGAGCATCATCAAAAACAACTCCAACCTTAGGAGAATTAGTAACTTCAAACTCTTTTAAATTTGAAAGTTGGATAGGTGTCTCCAAACTGAGTTCAGGGCATTTTGATATCCTCAATCTTCTCAGAGAAGAAAGATTTTCAGGCAACTTCCCAATCAACTTTGGGCAACCATCAATCGAAAGTTCCTCAAGTACAGGGAACTCTCCCTTCCCCAGTAACCCCACTGCTTCCACGCCAGCATCTCTGCGAATTCAAGCTGCTCAAGAGAATTAAATGGCTTTGTGGAGGATGAACTACCATAGAACTCTTCAGTCACCTCTGTTACTTGATGCATCCCTATAATGGTAAGGAATTTTAAACAAGGAAGCTGTCCTAGCGCTGGCAAGGAATCACAGTCGTTGCCGTTGCTAAGAGACAAGTCTATTAGCTTATGAAATGAAGGATCACCTAGCCAATTTGGAAATTTTGTTCCTCTATAGCCAGTGATTCGGAGTTCTTCTATGTTTGTATTTGGTTGTAGCTCATCAAGTATGTCTCTTTCTGTTTGTGAATTGTCAGCATTACTTCCGCTCCACTCCAAAGATAACCTTTCAACATGTTTCTTTTCCCTCATGTTTGCCTTCAGAGATTCCCTTCTATCTACCACATGTTGCAACCCTAGAATTGATAGAGATCCATACAAGTTATGCAGTTTACCCAAATCTTCCATTCTTGAACCACTACGACCACTTAGAAGAAACTTGGCTCCCACTAGCACATCGAGACTTTTCAACTTGCTTAGATGTAGGGGTGTCGTCAAATAAGCTTCGCTAATGTCAAGGTGACGCAAGTTGATCAATTTTTCCATATGCAGAGGTAGCTCCTTAAGATAACTACAATATGACAAGAGAAGTGTCTCTAAGTTGTACAGTACACAAATTGAATCTGGCAACTTTTTTATATTTGTCCAAGAAAAGTCCAAAAACCTTAGGTGCTTTAATTTAATAAACAAGTCATTTGGAAACTCCTCATTCTTATAATGAGACAATGATAGTGCCCTCAAAGATGTTAGTCTTGGCAATATGTCATGCAGCACCCTCTTGCTAAGATGGCACCAACGCAGCTGGATATTGATGGGAAGCAATGTCCTCAATTGCTCCGAATTGTTGAGGGTTTTTCAGTTTACCAAAATCACCATCACCCATTGAATATGACAAGTGTCGAGTTTGTTCCAACATATGAGATCCTTGGTTCTCTTCCAACCTGTTACACAGATTTGAAGATGCAATTTGGGCCAAATCATTGATAAGGTCATGCATTAAGAATTCCCCCGGATTCCATTCAGAAGACTCTCGGACCTTTTCAAACAATGATCTCGATCTCAACTCGAGAAAGTATTGGTTAGCTGAATGCAACTGCTGTACAAGACCATTAGCAATCCACAGGTGAATAACTTGTTCTTTGCTAAATAGATGATCTTTTGGATATATTGCACAAAAAGCAAAACATTGCTTCAAATGTGGACGAAGATCATTGTAGCTCAACATCAACGCTGGTAAGATTCCATTCGAACAACTTTGCAGCTCCCATATTTCACTTCTTAAAATGTCTCTCCACTCATCCACCTCTGATTTGGAGCGTAAAATACCAGCAAGTGCCTTTAGAGCTAAAGGCAAACCTTTGCACTTGTGTGCAATTTGTATTCCAATCTCTTCAAGTTCTGGATGTTCCTCAGGATCCCTATTTTCAAATGAATGTCGCTTGAATAGATCCCAAGAAACTTCACTAGACAGAGTCCCCACATTGATTGCTCCACAACCCATCATCAAGGCAACACTCTCCTTACGTGTCGTCACAATGATCTTACTTCCTACATCTCCTTGTACAAAAAGATTTCTCAAGTCATCCCACTCTTTATAGTTTTCATTCCACACATCATCTAGGACAATAAGAAACTTTTTTCCCTTTAAGCCTTCCTTCAATTTGACTTGAAGTTGATTCAGATTGTTATCAACCATTAAGCCAAATTCTTGAAGTAACTCCTTTGTTATTCTGAGAATATCATATGGTTCAGACACACAGATCCAAGCTTTGAAACCAAAATGGTTTTTTACTTTCTCATCATTGTAAACAGCTTTAGCAAGTGTTGTCTTGCCCACACCCCCCATTCCAACAACAGGAACTACAGTCGGATATTTTCCATTTCCATCCTCAGACAACAAACGGTCAATCAATTCCTCTATTTCTTTCTGCCTACCTAAGATATCAGATTCATCAACAACAGAGGTTGAAGATTCCCTTGTTTCTTGTTTACCCGAATCAAGGTATTTTGTTAGATCAAGGCGGCCAATTTGCTTTTCCAACTCCTCCAATGTTTCAATGGTGTCTTCCAGTTTCTCCTTTATGTTAAGAAAAAAATCATCACTCAAGCACAGGTTGCAGTCACTTACCTTTTGATTGCTTGTTTCTCCAAGATTTTGATGCTGACCTTCCACCTTAAGCCTCAACACTTCATAATTAACTTCTTCTATTAAGTTTTCAGCAGAGTCCACAGCATCTCGAAGCTCATTAAGCCAGTCTCTCACTGATGGATTTGATGCCTGCTTATTCTCTGCATCACTTAGCACAATCTGAAGACTACGCAAGTCATTTTCAGCTTCTTTAAGAGCCGAACATCACACTTGTCCCTCTTAAACATCTTCAGCAGATCACCGTTAGGAGCAAGCCTGTCAAAGAGAACATTCAAAGCTGAAGAGAGAAATGCACAACCAACTGCTAAGCCAATCTCCATTTCTGAAATCTGCAAATCAAAATAGGAAACCACAAAATGATTATAAGAATTTGAAGAAGATTACTGTTTCTTTACTAAGAGCTTTATTTTACCTGTTGAATGATTAAGAGTAATTTGCAAATATGAATGATCACTGATTTCTCTCTCTTTCTCTCTCTTGCTAGTGGTTTTTTCTCTTTTCCAGAAGTATGACTTTTGGATTAATTGAGGACAAGTTATGTTAAGATTAATTATCATGTGATAAGTTATGCTGAGATAAGTTATGAAAGAATTAGTTCTGCTGATTTATTAGTTTGTCATAGTCAAATAATATGCATGACATAATTTTTAAGAATAAGGGGTCGTTTGGTGTGATGGATAAAAGGAATTAATTCTGGAATAATTTTTTAGTGCCCTTTAATTCGTTGTTTGGTTGCAAAGGCTGGGATAAATTATCGCAAGATTAACAATTAGTCTTGGGATAAGTTATCCCTCCTGGGGTGGAATAGTAATCCAACATAACTTATCATGGGATAAAATATGTAAAATAACAAACATACCTCCCTTAAACTATCTTTTATACATTCATGTATATTAACATAATTTTTAACAATATTTATGATAATATTCACAACCTTAATGGCAAACTTGACAAGTCTTGTGCTATGTCGGGGTTGACCTCGAGCAAGAAACATCAGCAGAAGCAGTAATGGCAAACTTGACAAGTCTTGTGCCTACAAACATTGGACTTTTCACTGATTACACAGTCCACAACTGAAACTCTTTTGGTGGAATATGCTAATTAGCTGAGTTGCCTGAATGGAAACCAGCCCTCAATATTACCATGTCAACATCAATAGCATCAGTTAAGTATTTGTTAAATCAAGATAGGATACTTAAGATTCACCTCAATGCATCTTCAAACATCACCATCCGTTTTTCCTCATAAATTAGCATTATATATAGGGAAAATACATCAAATCCCCCTCAAACTTATCCACAAAACTCACTTTAGCATTGTAACTTTACTGGTGTTTAAACACCCCCTTAAAGAACTTTCAGGTGAATTAAATAACACCTTATATATACAATACCAATTTCATGATTGGGAGGTGATATACACGCGCGCCACATCAGCACCACCTCAGTGACACGTTGACAACACGTCATAGGGTGAAAAAATTTCATTTCTTTTTTCTTTTTCCATGTCATTTTTAGTTTTTAGTTTTCATTTTTTTTTTTGTTCTTCCATATATTTTTGTTCTCATTTTCACTGTGTACTCGTCTTCTTCTTCCCTCCATCTTCTCCATTACAAGCCTAGGATAGAAAAATTAGTTTTCATTTAATTTTTTCTTCAAAGATTGAAGGGCAATCCTCCTTGAGGAAAGGACTCTATTTCTGGACAATGAGACAGATGCAGTTCCTTAAGAGATGGAAGGAGTTGAGCAGATCACCGTTAGGAGCAAGCCTATCAAAGAGAACATTCAAAGCTGAAGAGAGAAATGCACCACCAACTGCTAAGCCAATCTTCATTTCTGAAATCTGCAAAAAACAAAACAAAGAATCAAAGAATGGTTTAATATTTCTACTAGTAAGAGATTTAATTTACCTGTTGAATGCTTGAGCAATATGCAAACAATATACTGACTGTCCACTAATTAATTTGCAATTGTTATACCTATTTTGGAGAATGACTTTTCTCTATTATTTTCCACAGCATATATATTAAAAAACTAAAAATAACACAACTTGTTACATTTTAATTGAATCAAACTTGTAACTTTTGGCTTGATTATCAAATTCCATACAATAATAATAAATTATTGGTGGACACCACCATTATATAATGGCAAATGAGTATATTATAAGTAGTGGTTATAACAAATTGTTTTTAAATAATTTTTCATACAAGATGCCTTTTTTGAAGTTGAAATCTAACCACTACATTGTCTTGTTTTCAACACTTAAATTTATTTTTTAAAAAGTCATTTGATTTAACTCAAAGATTACACAAATCTCCTATTAATTTAATTCAACGACCTTCATACTATTGGTCTCTACAATCAACTGGCATTAGCTTTTTAAAATGACCAGAAACTACCTACTAATTGTTTTCTTTGAGTTGGTTTTTTTTTTTTGAAATTAATGTATTTTAAAAGTGTTCCTTTTATAATTCTCTTTATTTGATGAAATCAAATACTATGAAAAGATAGCCCAAGCAGAAAGGCACCCTCTTTTGCTCTAGCAAAATAAATTCACTTTTAAATAGTACTTGTGTTATTAAGTATCATAAGTTGCCACAATATATTCGCTTTTTCGGGACAAGTTCAGACGGATTTTGTCTTTTCCCTGTTAAGTATGTTGTTTTCTTCTATAACATAAAAAGTCAAGAGGAAATGACTTCTTGCATATTTCTTTTATCAATAACCACCAAATAAGATCTAAACGTCAAATATTATTAAGGTGTGTAACAATAGCAATCATTCATTATAGCAGCCAAAAAGATGTCCGTCACTATAAAGAGGTCCAACTTTGTCTTTCGTAATTATACTAAACTAACTTCAGTTGTAATCTCAATCCTGAACATTCTCAAGGACAACATAGCAATATTTGCTGCTTCAACTCAACTAAGATCATATACATAACTTGAAATAGCATCACTTACTATATATATATACAAAATAAAATTCCATCTGATGATACAAACTCGCGCACAACAGAGCAATGTTGAGGATGGAAGTAATACCAAACTCGTGGACGACACCATTTGGACATACCAACTTGACTTGTAGCACTGCTGGTCTAAATGCAGGTTCAGCATTTCAAGCCAAACGTTTTAAGCAGTCATTCTTTGAGTCTGACAAGCACATTTTAGACATACAGATGGAAGGAACTCTCACGATCCACATGATTACCTGATAAAGATCTCAACAGTTAAAATTACTCAAACACAAAATGATAAAAAGGGGCATTTGAGCAATTAAAGTTTCTCAATTTTGAAGTGCAGCTGTAGCAGTGAACAACAACCATCAGAGTTTCATACACAAAAATATCCTTTTTTTTTACTGAGAATGAAATGCCTACCATTCTTTCGAGAGATGGAAGGAATTCTGGCATTGGTTCTGGTGGCAAACTTCAGCTAATCTCGATGAGGAAATGACATCGTATCTTGGCAGAGAAACTGATCAATCGAACCTTGTACTTTGTTGAGCTGCTGACAGAAGAGAAGAAAATAGAAATGATCTTCAAGTGCTATAGGAGAAACTCCTTGTACAAAAGTTTACTCAATATTTCCTTCTCAGTCGGATAAAAGAAAAGTAGTAGTGTCAAATTCCAGCGAAAAGAGAAAGTACCTTTCTGCACCTACATTCTGCTGATTGATCACAGTTGAGCTGATATTTGCCTATTCAAAAGTTAGCATGTGCATTACTCTAAACCACTTCCTCCTTCCGCAACTTATTGTGATATGTTGGAAGAAAACCTGGAAGTAGTCCAATAAAGTGAAAACTATTAAAGCTGGCGAACTTGGTAAAACAATTGAATGTTAATACAGCCAAACATTAAACTAGTAGCATCAAATCTATAGGCTGACTAATCCTTCTACTGCAAGCAACTACTCGGCAAGCAACTACTTGGAGGAAATCAAATTTGAACTGTACAATACACAGAGCTTGTGTCAGCCTCAGATATAACAAAATCAAACATATATTAAATTTTCACAAATATCAGTTCTGATAGTTGATAGCACTGGATAATTTCACAGAAAATAGAAAATGACTAGTCCTTTTAACAAATGATGGTTGGAATTTGACGTGCTGTTTTGTCTCCTAACCTCAAATAAATTTCTGATGCAAATCAATGCTGATTTTCAAGTTCCAAGGATCGAACGACATAGAAAAGATTGAACAAACACGTTAAGACAATGTCATATAAGAATTAGTAAGAGATGACTCTTTCTTAGTTATGCTGTTAATTCTAACAAAGTCAACTACAACTACTACCACTACAATATAAACATCTTGGTAACTGAAACATGTGTAAATCATTTTTTGTTACCTAACCTTGAATTCACTCCGAGTAGGATACAGTTCCTTGCCTTTCACTTAGTTCTGAGGTCCCACTCGAGGTTGAGTAATGGAAATCAATTACAGAAAACTTCACAATCTCCAAATTTATCAGCTTACTGTTTATATCTTCAGTCCAAATCTCTGAATATCCAAATATTAATAAAAGTTCAGTATATGCTATCAAATGTAGTCGTATAAAACTTAAAACTAATGCGATAGAACAAGGCTTAAATGTGGAAGCAGATATTGGAAGTCTTTTCGAATTTCTCTAAATTTCAAGCTTGATGCAACTCTTTTCAAGATTTTGGCTACCTGACTGAAAAATGAATCTGCATTCCTTTGGACCCCTTATCCCTGTGGAAGACACAAGAAATGGGGAACAAAGCCGAACAACTTTTCATGATGGCAAAAATTTTCCCAGTCTGCGATATTTGAGGGAGAACATAGGTTAAAATACAAGAAACAATAGTCTTAAAAGATTACTAGCTCATTAATATTACATTAAGAAAAGAGAAACGGTGAAATAGTGTTAATATTCTAAGTAAGATGAAGAGTGATATATATATAACAAGAATTCATGAATTGGAATTGAGATGAAGATCCAAGACAATAAACATCCTGCTGACATATGTGTGCTCGGTAAAAGATTACTAGTTCATTAATATCACATTGAGCTATCAACTTTCCAAAGCGGATTATTTCAATTTCATACCAGCTTTCTTTTTCTCACCTATTTGTTGTCATCTAAAATTAAACTCATCCCGATCCAAGAATATTCCTCGGCTTCACAGTGGCAATAGACGCTTTGCGCTGCTTAATAATTTAGCAAAGGGAAAGAATTAACTAACAAGCAAGGAGAAGTTAATAAAAATAAACAAATAATGAAAAAAGAAAGAATTAAAATTACATATATCAGAGCATCATTTCTCTTAATCATTACTGGTATCCCTATCAATAATTGGGAAGCTACATATAAGGTGTCGGATTTCTTAATGGTGCGAGGTCTTTTGGGGAAAATCGTGCTATCTCACACCTTGTTAAGAGTATCATTAATAGATAATTCATGTACCATTCATGTTGTACGGGA